ATCAAAAAAGAAAGTAACAGATCAATTCTCCTGTTTATGTAGTCTGGTAGTCTTAGTTTCAGCTTCATAGCAAACGGGTTACCCCATCTTTGCTCCGCTCCTGTGCCAACGAAAAACACACAGAATGTTTATCACAGTTCCTTGTGGAAAGACTGACAGACTGCTGTCTCAGCATATCTTATGTTATGATACACACGTATTAAAGCATGCGGTAGCCATCTCAAATGCCAACAGAAACAGTCTGACATTACAAAAGCAGTTCATTATTGATGGTAGCAGAAGTCACCAACAGATCAGCAGTTGCCCATGCGATCAATTTTAATCACATAAGGGCACCACCAACATTGCAACGACAAGCATCCCACCATTTTTTCTGAAACTACAATTCACACCATCACGTTGTTCAGTCGAAAAAACATTCCAAATGAAATCAGCTTACAGTGTCACGCCATGCATTCAACTCAGAAGCTGGGCGACGAAACTATATCCAGTCTACAAATGTAGCAAAAATGCATCGGCCACCGTCCGGCAGAAGCAAAAAATTTGCCTCGGCTCCTAACAGTGCCCCTGCCTAGCGTCCATTTTGACCGGAAGTGAATAAGTGTAGTGTTCTGTTTATGTAGTTATTTTGAACCACAAAGAATGTAGATTACAGAATGTCTCAATCTGATGTGTTGATGAGTAATCAGCTCTCTTTGTCAGCTGACTTCTTTCAAGACATCTTCACTACTCTTTTTATCTGCACATCTCTGTAACTTGTCAGCTTACTGTCCATGATTCACTTCCACATATATGCCATTTGTGCTCATGTCATTCGTCCATAAAAACACATCTCTGCTGCTTCCTTTTGGCATTTCACTAATATGCTAACTGTCCATGATTTACTTCTGTATATCAGGATTGGTTCTATACAGCTCCTAAAAACTCTCTTCTCTATCTCAACTGACAAGAACAAATTGCAAAGAAAAATTTGTAAACATAGAAAATATTTGTAAACATATGATCTATAGTAGAATTCTACAATTCATAAATTCTACATGTTTCATGCAAATACATTTGCAACTACAAAAACACAAACTATGTTTAAAAAGAATCAGATCTTACTTCGGTTTCATCCGGCATCGTTTCGTTAATTTTATCAATATGACTGTCATAGAGGGTCTTCTTCTCTGCATCAGTAAGTTCCATTGTCCATTCAGGATCTTTATCAAATCTGAACTTGAAACTTTCAAATGAAGCTTCAGAATGTTTTACCTGCAAATTTTTGTGTTAAAAAAAATTACCAGTTGCAAATTAAAAAAAATTAAACTACATGAAGTCATCTATTGATTCCTTGAAAAAAAAACTATAAAAGCCTTAAAAATCCAAAGATTCAAAGAAAATCTTTCCAAAAAGTTATATCATTGCAACTTCTAAAAGTGATGTTGACAACTGTAGAAACCTAAACAGTTGAAATACGCAAGTACTGAGTGGGTATAACATTATTTCATATCACTGTCAGGTCCCCAAGGTGTTTTATTCAGATGAAGACACACCATGTTTAGGACAAACACTGGAGTCACCAGTCAATTTATTTGATTATTGCGCTAAATGTTGAACCACAATGGTCAGAAAATAAAAAAATTAAAAGCATAAATGGCAAGTGTGGAAATTAAATAATAAATGTATAGCCCGCAGATAACCAAGCCTGTTAACCCTTACAGTTTTCCAGACACTGCATGTTTCTAGCGTATACTAAAAATGCAATAGCTTCACAATTATTTAAACATAAACTCGTAGTATTTTTGCACTAAAAATGAATAGAGAACAATTTTTAAAAAAAAAGTGCGTAATATTTTTTGTATTATCATTATATGGCTCTAGATTGGTACCTTAAAAAAAACCCTTTAACTGATAGCCATATAAAGGACCCTTTTCCGCGCCTTCAAGGGTATTAAGCATATAGGGCTAGACCTATATTTTATAGACCAATTGGCACTTGGTGGGTGATGTGGTCAGCATCATGCCAGCCACCTTTACTTCCCAGAACTTTATCTGGTAACTATTTAAGGCTGGGTCAACCTGGGAGCCAAGGTCATTAAATACAAATCTGGCTCTGTCAAGACAATCCATAGGCCACTGGGTCTAGCCACTACATCACAGTGACTGCTGACAGCGATACAGACTAATAAAAATGCCATATTTTCACAGCTATTGAAAAAAAAAACACAAAGTATTTAGGATTTTGTGCACCAAATTGAATAGAGAACAAATTTTAAAAATAAAAAAATACAAAATCTTGTCTTCCATCATTGTATTGCAGATTAGCGCAAAAAAGGAAACTTGAAAAGCCTCTATCTGGCAGCTATATAGACACAGTTTTGGGTATTACTCATTAAAGTCACCCCATCTCATGGGCAGCAAGATTTCGTAGCAGTACCTTTGTTGCACAACTTTTTTTTTTTTTTGCAACTTTTTTTTCTGTGAATGACTGTTATTCCTGCAATGTGTTGTTGTTGTTGTGATTAGGTTCATGTTCTAAAGGTGCCCGTGGGCAAAGAAGAAGTACTGCAGGGGGAAGCATTGAAGGCGCAATGGTTCCTGAGTATCGAATCATTTTATGTTTTTGTATTTTTACACTCACTGGCAGTGGCTGTTGCTGTTGGTGGATGTGCTAAAAACAGTCAAAACCAAGAACATGACATCCTTAGACTACAGAAGTGTCCCGGGAAATCCCCATGAAATCACATGGACGCCGAGACGGGATAACTTTCATGAGTTGTACCATTTTTTGTTTCTTTTTCTGAAATAACCCTGGGTGAGAACTCAGCCTAACTGTGAATACCCTGGGTGAGAACTCAGCCTAACTGTGAATACCCTGGGTGAGAACTCAGCCTAACTGTGAATACCCTGGGTGAGAACTCAGCCTAACTGTGAATACCCTGGGTGAGAACTCAGCCTAACTGTGAATACCCTGGGTGAGAACTCAGCCTAACTGTGAATACCCTGGGTGAGAACTCAGCCTAACTGTGAATACCCTGGGTGAGAACTCAGCCTAACTGTGAATACCCTGGGTGAGAACTCAGCCTAACTGTGAATACCCTGGGTGAGAACTCAGTCTAACTGTGAATACCCTGGGTGAGAACTCAGCCTAACTGTGAATACCCTGGGTGAGAACTCAGCTTAACTGTGAATACCCTGGGTGAGAACTCAGCCTAACTGTGAATACCCTGGCTGTTTGCCGCTTTTGTACAAAGAATTTCAGATGCAGTATGTGTATTAATTGTAAAAAAGCCACAAGAATGGTCTTTTCTCAAACTGCCCATTACAGGAACTAAGCTCCGATAAATGTTGAGGATTTAACTGTGAAATGATTTTCACTAAACTCTGAACCACAGAGCTATAATGTACACAGTCTACACTAATAGATGTATCTAACTCCTTTTTCTTCTTCTGCATTCATCCGAAGATGTAACTGTGTTGTGCCCGTTAACAGCATGGCTGCATTGTTTGCACCTCTCAGCCAACACATCTGACTCTTGCAGGCATTTGTTGACCGGGTTAGAATTCCTAGCACTAGAAATATACCAAAAATGTTGTGACCATGCCAGCTCTGATGATCAGCCACCATTATCAAAACATCTGCATAATGCATCATCGACATGGGAGCTCATTAAAAAATTTTTGAAACATTTACTTTAAACACTACAGAATTCTTTCCTTTGAAGATGCTTAGAGAAAAAAAATGGACTAAGAGCTAAGAGCTTCAAGCTTCATTTTTTTGCATTCAGTGCAATTTTTGAAAAGGGGTGATCATTCAAAGTGACGAATGCTGAGGGTGCAATTAAAGTAGTGAAGTGCAACTGTCGGCCGATTGCATAACATGCGACTGTAGTATTCAGTAAGTTAAATTGGTAAAAACTCTCTAAGGACCTTACATATAATCAAAGACTCCATTTATGAATTTAGAAATGAAAAAATGATTTACTTTCTCAAGAAGAAACTTTTTGAAGTCCTCTATAGCCAGTTCTCTAGGGCTCTTCTCACTCTCATCGGTCTCCATCACCGAGGATAAAGGTGCACTTGTGCTTTGTTCTTCCTGGTTCCTTGTGTCAGATGTAGCCTACAAAAGAAATAAACATGTATATCCAGAAACACAGTAGCAAACTTTTAAGTGCATGTGGGTTACTGGGTCACATTTCAGGGGAAATAAACAACAGACCCACTGCCCCCCTCCCCACACACACACACACACACACAACAAGCATGTCGTAAACCATGACTAATTAGGGCCATTTCTCTCAAAGTCAAAGTGCATCTGCCTGAAAGGCAAGAAACCAACAGTCTGCATACAAACAAGCCAGCCCTGAAAAATGGATGTACATGCAAAATTCAAGTTCTGGAACAAGAATTAGGTTCAAATAGGGGATGAACAAGCAGAACTTTCCATTGAAGTTTGCAGCCAGTCTCAAGAATAAAGAAAGTTTTGCTGGTTTTTTTGAAGAAAGAAGACAATATACTTGTTAGGGCTGCACACTGTTCTCCCCCCGCCCACCCCCTTCCAGAATGGAGCCCTGCAACCTACAAAGGAACAGTGACTTCCAACACTGACATTGTAAACATATATATCTACTAATAAACCTACAGCACAGTGGCTAGACACTTGACTGCCAGCTTAAAGGTCATGGGTTCAAATTCAAACCATGGCAGACATTTTTAACTGACTTAAGGCTCCCAGGTAGATCCAGCCTAAAACAGGTATCAGGAAATGCCATAGGAAGTAAATGTGACCAGCATGATGCGACCATATGACCTATTTAGTGCAGCTATTCCTTAAAAGTACTGTCTAGCTGCAAATACCTAGTGTGACAATGGGTCAAGTACTGTATTTTTAAAAAGCCTACCCTGCAATGCCACAGTTCATTTATTCTATTTGATTTATGTAAATACATTTGCAATCAATTACTTCAACTACAAAAATATGAAGTATGACTAGAAAGAAAAAAAAAATTACATCTTACTTCAGTTTCATCCAGCATATGTGGGTTAATTTCATCAACATGACTGTCAAAGAGGGCCTTTTTCTCTGCATCAGTAAGTTCCATTGTCCATTGAGGATTTCTATGAAATCTGAACTTGAAGATTTCAAATGATTCCTCAGAATCAGGTTTTACCTGCAAATTTTTATTGTAAAATTGAAACTGACAATATCAAACATACTGAAAAAAAAAAAAACTACATAAATTTCTCTGAACCATACCTTAGTCAGGAAAGACACCATAAAAACTTTAAAAGTCACAGAAACAAAGGAAATAATTCATTCTAAGAAGTTATATCATTTTATCTCCTATAAATTATGGTCACTTTTGCAGAAACCTGAACAGGGGAAATAAGTATATATTGTGTAGGTATAACATAGTTCATACCCTTTTATCTTTTACAAGTTATTTCCACTTTTACAGAAACCTGAACAGTGAAAAAAAAGTATACATTGTGTTGGTATAAAATAGTTCATATCACTGTTTCATATACAAAAAGTGGTATTGTTCAGATAAGATATGTCAGGAATTATTATTGTTTGTCACAAACAGTGGAGTCACCAGTCAGTTTATTGAACTGTTGTGCTAAAGATCAGTTAACTATAATGGTCACAGAAAACAAAAAAGCACAGCTCGTAAGTGTGGAATTTAAATATTCAATGTTTAAACTGTGGCAAAATCACTCTAATGACATAACACATAATGAAAGGTTCCGTACACAAATCTAGACATAAATAAATTATTTACTTTCTCAATAAGAAACTTTTTGAAGCCCACAACAGCCGCTTCTCTTTGGTTTTTCTCACTCTCATCTGTCTCCTCCACAGAGAATAAAGGTACACTTGTGTTCTGTTCTTCCTGGTTTCTTGTGCCATCAGATGTAGCCTTTAAAAGAAATAAACATGAATATGCAGACATACAACAGCAAACTTTACGTGCAAGTTTACCTATCTAGGACCCTGGCCCAAATTAGGGAGAAAAAAAAAAGAATAGACCCACTGACCCTTACTTTCCCCAAAATTATGTTGTAAAAGGTGTTTATTTAGGGCGTGAAAGGTGAGAAACCAATAGTCTGCATACAAATAAGCCAGATCTGAAAAATGGATGTGCATGCAAAACTCAAGTTCTGCAACAAGACTGAGGTTAAGAAGTGAATGGACAACCAGAAGAAGAGGCTTTTGACAACATTCCTATTGGGGGCAGTGGGATATTATTTTTCGTCCCAATATGGGGCCCCCAAAAACCCACACAGGAACAGTGATTTCCAACATTGACATTGTAAACATATATATCTACTAATAAACCTACACCACAGTGGCTAATTACTTGACTGCCAGCTCAAAGGTCATAGGTTCGAATTCACACCAAGGCAGACATTTTTTAATCACTTAAGGCTACCAGGTAGATCCAGCCTAAAACAGGTACCAGGAAATGCCATAGGAAGTAAATATGACCAGCATGATGTGACCATATGACCTATTTAGTGCCAGCTATTCATTAAAAGTACTGTCTAACTGCAAATACCTAGTGTGACAATGGGTCAAGTACTGAATTTTTAAAAAGCTTGCCCTACAATGCTACAGTTTACAAATTCTATATGATCTATGTAAATACATTTGCAATCAATTACTTCAACTACAAAAATGTGAAAAATGACTAGAAAGAAAAAAAAATTACATCTCACTTCAGTTTTATCCAGCATCTGTGTGTTAATTTCATCAACATGATTGTCAAAGAGGGTCTTTTTCTCTGCATCACTAAGTTTCACTGTCCATTGAGGATTTCTATGAAATCTGAACTTGAAGATTTCAAATGATTCCTTAGAATCAGGTTTTACCTGCAAATTTTTATTGTAAAATTGAAACTGACAATACCAAACATACTGAAAAAAAAAACAACTACATAAATTTCTCTGAACCATACCTTGGTCAGGAAAGACACCATACAAACTTTAAAAGTCACAGAAACAAAGGAAATAATTCGTTCTAAGAAGTTATTATCATTTTATCTCCTATAAGTTATGGTCACTTTTGCAGAAACCTGAACAGGGGAAATAAGTATACATTGTGTGGGTATAAAATAGTTCATATCACTGTTTCATATACAAAAAGTGGTATTGTTCAGATAAAGACATGTCAGGAATTATTATTGTTTGTCACAAACACTGGAGTCACCAGTCAATATATTAAACTCTTGTGCTAAAGATCAGTTAACTATACTTCCTGTCCTTTTAACTCTTTGAGTCCCAAGGAACGCATCATGCGTTTATAGGTTCCTACCTAGGAGCCCAATGAACGCATGATGTGCCGAATTTATTACTTTTTTGACTACCAACTGGGCCTGTGATGCTAAACCCCCTGGGACTCAAAGAGTTAAGGATGACATTTTTTTGTTTTTTAAATCCCTACTCTGGCTTTTGCCAGGGGCCGCAATATAGTCTGGCCATAAATATGGCCTAAAGGCTGAACGCGGTTTCTAGGACCTCTCCACGATGATCCTCATCCACATGGTGGCACATTGTGTCATCGGGTGTTTATCGCTTGTGTGATGTCCTGTTTGGGTAGAAAGTCAGTCAGTCAGTTAACTACAATGGTCACAGAAAAAAAAAGCATAGCTGGTAAGTGTGGAATTTAAATATCCAACGTTTAAACTGTGGTAAAATTGCTCTAATGACATAACACATCATGAAAGGTTCCGTACACAAATCTAGAAATAAATTAATTATTTACTTTCTCGACAAGAAACTTTTTGAAGCCCTCAACAGCCACTTCTTTTTGGCTTTTCTCACTCTCATCCGTCTCCTGCACCGAGGATAAAGGTACACTTGTGCTCTCTTTTTCCTGGTTTCTTATGTCATCAGATGCAGCCTTCAAAAGAAATAAACATGAATATGCAGACATACAACAGTAAACTTTATGTGCATGCTTACCCATATAGGGGGCAGTGGGATATTTTTTTCTCTCTCCCCAAAATGGAGCCCCTAAAAACCCAGACAGGAACAGTAACTTCCAACAATGACATTGTAAGCATATATATCTACTAATAAACCTACACCACAGTGGCTAGACATTTGACTGTCAGCTCAAAGGTCATGGGTTCAAATTCACACCAAGGCAGACATTTTTAACTGACTCAAGGCTCCCCGATAGATCCAGCCTACTGCAGGTATAAGAAAATGCCATGGAAAGTAAATGTGACCAGCATGATGTGACCATATCAACTATTTAGTGCCAGCTATTCATTAAAAATATTGTCTAGCTGCAAATACCTAGTGTTACAATGCGTCTTCTTCTTCTTCTTCTTCACTTCCTCTTTTACCGCTGTGGGTGTCGAGGGAGATATAAGGTTCTGTTTCTAGCTCTTCTGGCTGCCTCGACCATAGGCACATAATGCTGTTGTAGAGTTTCTCTGATGTTATCCTTCCATCTTGTGTTACAATGGGTCAAGTACTGAATTTTTAAAAAGCCTACCCTACAATGCTACAATTCACACATTCTACATGATTTTTGCAAATAAATTTTCAATCAATCACCTCAAATTAAATAATGTAAAGCTTGAAATATAAAATATATCATCTTACTTCAGTTTCATGCAGAATCTTTGTGTTGATTTCCTCAATATGACTGTCATAGAGGGCCTTCTTTTCTGCATCAGTAAGTTCCATTGTCCATTTGGGATTTCTATGAAATCTGAACTTGAAGATTTCAAATGATTCCTCAGAATCAGGTTTTACCTGCAAAAATTTATTGTAAAAATGAAACTGACAATACCAAACATAATAGAAAAAAAAAAACGACAGATTTTTCTGAACCGTATCTCAGTCGGGAAAGACAACATAAAAACTGTTAAAGTCACAGAAACAAAGAAAATAATTAATTCTAAGAAGTTATATCATTTTATCTCATGGTCACTTTTGCAGAAACCTGAACAGGGGAAATAAGAACACATTGTGTGGGTATAAAATAGTTCATATCACTGTACTATACAAAAGGTAGAATTGTTCAGATGAAGACATGTCAGGAATTTATATTGTTTGTCACAAACACTGGAATCACCAGTCAGTTTATTAAACTGTTGTGCTAAAAATCAGTTAACTACAATGGTTACAGAAAAAAAAAGCATAGCTGGCAAGTGTGGAATTTAAATATTCAATGTTTAAACTGTGGTAAAATCACTCTAATGGCATAACACATAATCAAAGGTTTTGTACACAAATCTAGAAATAAATAAATTATTTACTTTCTCAACAAGAAACTTTTTGAAACTTTCAACAGCTGTTTCTCTAGGGCTTTTCTCACTCTCCTCAGTCTCCTTCACCTCATCTGTCTCCATCACCGAGGATAAAGGTACACTTGTGCTCTGTTCTTCCTGGTTTCTTATTGCATCAGATGTAGCCTTCAAAAGAAATAAACATGAATATGCAGACATACAACAGTAAACTTTATATGCATGTTTCCCCATCTAGGTTCAGGGGTCCAATTTAGGGACCAAAAGACAATAGACCACTGTTCTCCCCGCTCCCACTCCCCCACAAACATGTTGTAAAAGGTGTTTAATTAGGGGTATTTCCTTAGAAACCAGAGTGCAACTGCCTGAAAGGTGAGGATCCAATAGCCTACATACAAATAAGCCAGACCTGAAAAGGATGTGCATGCAGAACTCAAATTGGATTGGCTTTTTACCCCACCAGGACATCACACAAGCGATAAACACCCGATGACACAAAGTGCCACCATGCGGATGAGGATCACCTTGGAGAGGTCCCAGAAACGGCGTTCAGACATTTGGCCATAATGATGAGACTAAAGTAGAGAAGTGGATGAATAACCAGAAGAAGTTGCCTTTGATGATATGCTTGTTAGTGGGGTTGGTGTCTATACTTTCTCTCCCCAGTATGCCTCTTCCTCCCCCGAACCCACACATAAACAGTGATTCCCAACAATGACACTGTAAACATATAGATCTACTAATAAACCTTTACTACAGTGGTTAGATGTCGGCTCTGAGGCCAAGTCGATGTGAATGCTTCGTAATGCCGGGATGCCGGGTTCGATCACAGCTGCAGGCCATGTGTCTTGTGTTGGTTTCAACAGTGATATCAAGAGAGCTGACCGTCCAGTAGCAATGGCAAACTA